CCCTATCTATATATATATATATATATATATATATATATATATATATATATATATATATATATATATATATATATATATATATATATATATAGATGGTATGACAAAATGATAATACTTACTTCCAACAAATTTTGGAGACAAAACATTATTGTCCATGATAACTTCTTTAGTTGAAAATACTGACTGAATTTGAGTTTGTTTATCTGAGTCCAATGAATTTGAACAAATAAAAGTTAATTTAAAGAAAATATATGACCATGTAATAAAAACACATACAGTTTGTTATGATCTATATATCCATAATTTTAAAAAAAAATATTTCATTTATGGAATTATGAAGTAAATAACGATTATTGATAACTTACGTTGGTAAGTATTTGCAGGAGACCTAGCATTGTGAAGGTAATCCTGTGGCCATGGCCTTGCATCCCTTTTAATAATTGTTTCTATTGATAGATCTGAAACTATAGATAAAAAAAAATCGATAATACACCTGAAAAATATTTACATTTACAACACGAATATGTAGCTTACCAATAGGTACATCGTATAATATAGATTTTTCAGGTGAAGAAGGCGTCTTTCGTTTATTATCCATATGTAAATACTATGCACATAAACCTGCAAAACTTAAGCTGCACAGTTAGATGTGTGTATGCTTGTTTCTATTAAATATAATTAAAAATAATCAATATTTGTACCATTCAAAAAAAATGTATATTGTGTCTTAGAATGGGAAAAAAGAAGAATATATTGTAATCATATACATAGAAAATTGACTGACTTTCATATAAAAAAAATGTTTCATATAAATTGTTAAATCATTTATAAGATGTATGTATATAAATACATAGATCTTATATGAATAAGATCTACTCAACTCGAAAATTTTTATATGTAAATAAATATAATAAAATTGTATACGTAACATAAAACATACATTGAAACAAATACGAATAAAAATTATATAAATGTTCCACAATATACATAAATTGGACTGCAGTGTAAAGGCATGAATATATGCAGAAAATAAAAAGTAGATATATGATTTAGAGAGCCTAAGGAAAGATGAAGAGATGATTACACAACGTGAACTATATGTGATTTAATAGCAATACATGGTAAATAACTAATAACTACATGTACTCGTTCGGTAAAACTATACTCAAACACTATAAAATAAATGAAAAAAAAAGTTAACTACAAAATATCGATCTTATATGCCACGTACCGTATTGCGTGGATCGGATTGTAAGAATACTATTATACTCAATATTCATAAAAAGAAAACGATATCTAAATGATGACTAGTTGGGATAATATAATTTTTCTGCACTTTATACAACCAATGAAATGAAATAAACGGTGTATATATATAAGATGGTAAGAAGTAATTATTCAAAAATTATAGTAATTAGTTCCTAATTTGATTGTTGATTTGGATATTTTGTAAGCATGTTACAAAACTATTTAATGTAAAAGAAAATTCTTGCAATAAATAGTCAGATTCCAGTTAATGAAACATAATTACCTAACTTTCATTAATTAATAGCAAGTTTATATTAAAATAGATTTATTATCCGTTTTAAAAGTCTCTATATATTGATCATAATACTTAATGGTTACTAAATTATAGTAATAATCCCTGAATTATAGTAAATGTGAATAATATAAAAAAACAATCACAATCCTACATTAATGCCTAAGTTAGAGTAAATGTGAATAATGTGCTTTTTAAATATTCCATTTGTTTTCCAACTAATCCATATATATATATATATATATATATATATATATATATATATATATATATATATATATATATATATATATATATATATATATATATATATATATATATATATATATATATATATGATACATATTTATGTATATATATGCAGTATAGCCATGTCATTAAATGTGTTCATAATTTTATGTATATATGTGAGAATATTGGGAATATTGGAAAGAAAATATTGTGTGATCTTTACATATTTGTTATATAACTATAAATATACACACGTGTATTATTAAATAAATAACGAATATTTCTATGTGCAAGTATATAAATATTGTTGTTTCCGATATAACATACACAAAAAATTAAGAGCTTCGAAGAATGGAGAACACGTTCTGTGTACCGTCGTTTTTTATTTTTATCCTTATGCGAGATTACCGCGAAAGAATCGTAAGTAGTATTAATTGAAAATAATGATTAATTTGACCACGTGTTATGTAATTCCGCGAAAGAATCGTAAGTAGTATTAATTGAAACTAATGAATAATTAATTTGATCACGTGTTATGTTTTTCCGTACATTGACATTGCATACTATACGTTCTAGAATCGTCAATGTGTTAGTAAAAACAATAGATATAATAATGTTGTTATGTTTACATATATGTCGTTGCAGATCGTACCGGAAAATTTTAAAATCCTCAAAAAAATATATTTTAGTGATTTTTTAAAATACTCAATATCTTCAAGTTCAAATGGAATGTACCTATCGACAAAAGCGAACCAATAACATCTGCAATTAATATTAAACAATTGTAAGAATACATCCAGTAAATAAATGCTAAATATTAAGAAAAACATTAATGGAAAAATTTAATACCTATTGTATACTCATTGTTGTTTGACGCTTGTTGTATATCTGCGTAAGGTGTGAACTTAACTGAATACATTGGAATGGACGGAACGTCAACTTCTCTCACAGTAGATGTATATTCAAAAGTGACTCTATAGTCATTCAAGGCATGCTTGTAGGTCTTGACACTAAAAAAAGCAGATAGGTTTGACATTACATAACATCCGTTCACTTTGATCTTAGACTCAAATCTGTATAACAGTGTATACTTAATGGAAGCTTGCACCGTATCACCCCTGCGTAATTAAAAAACAAATATGAAAAATATATTTTCCTAACAATCATATTTGACGTATTAAAATAAAATAATCACCTGTTCATCAATGAATATCATCTCCATGTCTTGAAGATCTTTCTTAAAATAATTTGGCTGTTTTCAAATGTGCAAAACACGGATTTTGAGATTCCATGACTTTTTTTCACCTCCCAAGTTTCTAATGAGATCTACTTGCCTTGACATTTATATGTGTTTAATACGCGTAATCAAAAATTTGTTAGTGAATTAAATCAAACAATAAAAGATGAATATACGATAACAACTCTTGAATTATATATATTCCAAAATATGCATAAAGTATAATATATAATCTATATGATAAAGTTACATTAATTCATATGCTCGGGTATCGTGAAAGAAAAAAATTAAAAAAAAAGGTAAAAGATTATTCTAAAATAATATTATACTCACGATTCACAAAAAGAGAACGATGGTCGGCTGATGAAGTATCGAGAGAACAATATTATCCTGCAGTTTAGAATAACAATGAAATGAACCGTGTATATATAATATGATGATATTTAATAATTCCTAAATCATAGTAAATGAAATATAATCATGGAAGTAAAATTATAATTCCTAAATTTTAGTTCCGTAATTATAGTAAATAAAATACAATTATATTTAATAGTACCGAAATTAGAGTAAATTATAGTTAATAAATATTCATATTCCATGTAATTAACTAAAATTAAGCAATTTCCTATAAATAAAATGCATAAATTACGATTAGGCATATATTTATATGCCTAATCTATATTAAATATAGATCACCTACATAAATATAAAAGATTACATCTTCA